GGACTATCCTTAGTTGCAAGGGAGTCTGGGAAATGCCCCAGGGTTGGGGTAGGGGAGCAGGAAAGGGCACGTTTACCATTGTAAACAAAATCGGGCTCTGTTTCTAAAGTAGAAAGGGGGAATGAATATTGGGTAGAGAGAATAAATTTAGGATAGTTTTTCTTTATTTCTCATATGGATTGTTCTGGTAGTAGGAAGGCAGAGATATGACGTTGCCTCAAGGAGAAATGGGTTGTTGTAACACAAATGGAAAAAGGAGCACAAAACAAAGTACAGTTTTTAATTCTTTTTCCCCCCAAACAGGCTTTTCAGAATCAAAGGTGAAGCAGGACATAGTTTTCTCTTCCTACCGGGCGAGGAGGGAAGACCATAGAGCAAGAGGGAAAGGGGAGAAGGTTGGCGCGTGTTGGCGTGGGGGTGCGGGAAGGACCAGGCCTGGGAGGAGGGGTGCTGTGGAGAGCACTACCTGGACACTGAGCCAACAAAGTTGCATTTGTTATGATTTTAGCAGTGACATTAGCTGTTTACTGGTCACTGCAGAGTGATAATTCCATGACAGCAGCCTACTCAGGTCCCTGGAGTGTTGAGGAGGAAAGGATGTCCGGATGTCTATCCACGCTTGAGACTGGCCAAGCCCCTGCCCGAGTGCCACATATGGAAATATCCCTCCCCTTTCAATCGTCTGTGACAATAACCCCCTCCTCAGAGACGGGAGGTGGATCCCCAGAGCTGCAGTCGGGGTATGAAAGGCAACGCACAGGTCCCCGACAGTGGTGGAAGGCCCTCTGCCCACACAGACCCCAATACGGGCCAGGTAGGAGGAGCGTCTGGTAGTGGGGCCGCACCTGGCTCTATACAAAATGAGGGAAGTGACAATTCGCTACTTTGGGAGGAAACAGAGTGACCTTTGAATTGCCCACTCACGTGCCATGCTGGTGTGAGTGCTGGGGGATCTAGGAGGGAAGAGATCAGAACTGCAAGGTACTGTTAGGATTTGGGATCAGTGGTCAGTCAGGGCACAGTTTGCTTATTTAGGATGTGGGGGGGGGGGAGGGTCACACCATGAGAGAGCTAGGGCAGGGAGAAGGCAGCCCGAGGAAACTAACCCAGACACCGAGGGAAGCGTTGTGGGCAACTTATCCCTGGGAAGTAGTAACAGCCACTACCTCATCACTCCACATAGATGTAGGTAGAGAAAGAGGGAGTGACGGGAGGGAGCCAGAGGTGAGATAGCTCATTAGAATTGCTTCTGATACTTCTAGGCCCTAAAGCAGAAGCTGGCAGGCTTTTCTTGATTATTCTGATCAAGGACATGTGATTTTTTTTGGGAAAAAGCCCCTGCCATGATTTCTATCTGGAACCATCTGGTCTTCTCATTAAAAAAAAATAGAATTAAAAAAAAAGTCTGTGTCTAGTGGTACAATGAGAACTTGTAACTATTTGTTTGTCATATCATAAAGTTGAAGTCTGTGCTCACATGGCCATGCAGATGGAACTGGCATCCATCTTGCCTTTCAACCTTTACAAAACGGCTTTAGAACAAGTGGGCTCTCCGAGGGTTTCAGAGCTGCTAGGGCAAAGAGTGGTAAATATACCTGTGCCGGGAGGCAGAAGAGGTTTTTGTGTCTCCTTGATTTTTAAAAAACAATTTAAGCCCAAGTGGCATCTGCAGATCTAAATGGGGGTAGACATGCCAGGCTGTTCACTTTGGCACACATGGTCCAGTGGAACAGAACACACAGACGGGACACAAATCAGAACAGGGCTGTGGCAAGTTCAGCCCATCCACAGGCAGAGGAACACATGCCCAGCACACACACAAATTGAATATACAATTTGTATATTCACAAATGAGAATGCTTTATAATTAGAAATAATTGTTACTTCTTTGGATATTCTTCTTAATAAGAATCTATTACACCTCTTGGCTATTATGAGAAGCTTGGGTAGGGAGACGCTGGTACAATAGATAACATGATATAGTCACACAAGCTAGACATCCATCATCCAGAACCAGACCGCTCCACAACATGGCACCCATTGGCAAGAAGTCATCATGTCCTTGCCATTCTCACTAGTGATAAACCTCCTGTTGGAAACACAGGCCCATTTTAATGAAGCATTTGTTTATTTTTCTCATCTGCCCATCACAGAGCCCTGTAGGAAATGGAGACATAAATATATATATATATATATATATATATATATATATATATATATATATATATATATATATAAAACCACCCTGCAGGCATCAGGTACAAACACCCCAGTTAAACCCACCAGGCCTTCCTAGCTCGAAGCCTGGGTTGAGCATTCATTATA